CATGTCATGTCAGGGATGGGTCCCAGCAGAAAACCTCCAACGCTCATGTCAGATTTCGCTCGTGAATATGCTAAAACTATACGTGAAAATGTAATAATGTGTTGTTTAAAGCAAAACCTCATAACCTCCTTTTCTATGGAGGTTATCTTCTTACTCAAGTAACCTTGTTACTATGAAAGAGATTCTACTGTATCTCCTTTCCTAGTATAACACCTCTATTGGATCTTAGAGCATCTCCAATTCATAATGTTAAAGGAGAAAAATTAAATGACATGTCATCATTGAACATAATGTCTTTAATATTTATATCTTCAATGAACTCTGTCAAGGTCCAATTTTTTGTGATGTGGCTTGACTACTGTCAAGCCCAGCGTTTGAAAGCAAACAGTGTATTGGACAGTATGACTCACAAATAAATGTGCCAAAATTTGTGGAATCGTGGGAAAAAACCAGAAATTTTTTTAGATTTCGTGGGAAAATATGGCAATCAATATAATTACAATTTTCATATTATATAAATTACACTATTTTGTATTTACTTGATAGATAAAAAAATAACATTTTTATATTTTAAAATTAAACTACTTTATATTTACTGGATCATTTTTTTATGTACTTAATTTTTTCTTTCCAAAAATTGATTCCTAATTTTATTATTTATTTAGTTTTGGGAGGATGAGACTACTTCTTTTTAATTAAAATTTTTGATTTCCCTGCTTTTATTATTTATTTAGTTTTGGAATGATGGAAACCACTTTTTTCTTTTTTTAATTTAAAAATAAACGTAACTAAGTTGTTAAAAATCTCGAAGCTGCAGTCTTGATATGTTTTATCCAATGAGTCTGGTTAGTCTTTCATAAAATGCTTTCTTATTTTTGTTTTTACAACATAAAGAAATATACACATACAAATCACGTGAAGAAAGTAAATGCATTGGAGATAGTTTTACACTGTTATAATCTACAATGTCATGTTGATGTTATAAACAATTATTATCTAATTAATTACTACCATGTGGCATGAAAATTTTAACATTGACACTCATATACTGGAGATGCACTTAGGCTCCTTAGCAACTTATACTTTCCATCCCTATCAAATTTTGTTCCCTCTCCTCACACGACTTCTAGGCCCTTAGGTCTTCACCTACGACCTCGTGACCCATTTGATGCATGGCTTGCCAGTTCAAAACAACGACCTTCACATGTGCGACCTCAAGGTCGTGCCAACCAGGGCCGTCTCCAGAAATTCGGAGGCCCCAAACAAGTTTTTTCTTTACGAATTTTCTCGATTTGAACTTACATGGTAATTAGGGCTATTTGCAGATAGAATCATAAATTTAAACGAGATTATTAAATAAATAAATAAATAATTGAAAAAAAAAATCTTGTTTTTCTTAAACTTGGAATTGATAAATTACCTCCGGGCTACAAAGATCTTTAATAAATTACATTCAACCAATCACGAGGACAACAAAGAGAAAATAAAATCATGTCACTACAAAGAATATTATTCTCACACAACTTGTTCTGACCGAACATCATACAAAAACAAATGAAATATTTAGGGCCACAATTTCCCACACAAATTACATATTTTGCCATTAGCCACTTCATTTGTGTAATGGCTTGTGTAATGACTCAAGTCCATATTTAGCCATTAACCCCTTCATTTGTATAAATATTGTGTAAATAGACAAAATCCAACACAAATACATAATATTAAAATAATAATGAGGTCTCATTTGTATAGATAAACAAAACCCAACACAAATATATAATATAAAAAAAATGAGGCCCCAAATAAAATAGAGGCCCTAGGCCCATGCCTAGGTTGCCTACCTCCTGGAGCCGCCTATGGTGCCAACTCATCATCTGTCCGAGCTCCCTAAGGAGCTCAGGCCCTTATTTTTCATTCAGGCTGACTTTTACCCTGAGCTATTCTACTAAACTCTCTAACGAGCTCGAGCACTGATAACGAGCTGAGACTCCGTTGAACAGGTCATGCTCGAGTTAACTACTTAGGCTGGTTCACCTAGCTACCTTTATTGCTATATCAACCTAGACAAATATCACAATTGTTATCAAGTAACGAACATGAACGCAACTCTTCCATATATAACATAAGAAACCTAAAACCGCTGATAAAAATTGACAAAAGGCACTACTAAATTGAACCTAAAACATGAGGAAAAAATAATCAGTACTCTCAACTAGACATGATCAAATGACGGTTCCGGGCTCGATTTTGTGTTGCGGTTTTGGAAGCCGTGAACCGACCCGATTATATTGATTCTGGGCCGGCCCGACTTATTTATAAAAAAAAATAAATAATAATAATAATAATAATAATAATAATAATAATAATAATAATAATAATAATAAGATGAAACTGTCGGTTATGGTTTCGGTTCGAAATCGAAACCGTCGATTGAAAATTTATAGATGATTGAACCAGAACCGACCTGAGTAAACCACGGGCCGATTCAAGACCTGTGCTCAACGGGCCAATTTTAGGCCGATTTAGAGCCTGTTTTGGCCGAATCGATGGGCCTGTTTGGGCCTAACAAAAAATATTTATAATCAATGAGGCCAAAATCTCTTTGGAAAACTTAGGATTAGGGCCAAATTTGAGAAATCACACGATATTTTGGCATATTTACTTAAAGCAAGATAAAATAGCCTAAAAGATGTTGGTAATCGCCTAATAGGATTGAGATGGTCAAAGTCAAAATATATTGCCCGTATAAGGTTTAATAAACTTATTTGCTCTTAAGTTTGATCTGCATTGAATTTTCATTAACAAAAGATACCATTACCATTCATTATTGATTGCAGTCCAAAGTAATTGCATCCTAAGCTAAAAATGAAACTAAGAAAATATAAAGGACTAAAAATGAAACTAGGAGTATAAAGGGCACACACCAATATTAAGACCGACTTTATCGGTGATCCAACCCGTGGGTCATCAATTAAAAACTAAAAAAATAAAAAAAAAAATAAAAAGGGAAAGCTCGTGAGATTTGAGCGACCCAGGTCACATTGTGACCTTGGGTCGCGACCTACATTTTGTATGAGAATGGGACACTTGTCCCATTTTGATTGGATAAGTGTATTTTTTGTTTAAAAAAAAAGATATTAAATTCGTATTTTTTCATTCTCTACAAATAGAGACCACATTTGATATATTTTGGAATAAAATTATAATTTTTAAATAAATTAAATTAAAATAAATATTTAGATTGAGTTGGATTGGGAATAATGAATAATTAGGATGGAAGATTGAGTTTTGTACTCAGAAAAGAGAGAAATAATATTTAATTATTAGGTTGGGTTGGGAATGATGAAGGTATAAAAGATCACCAAATCTATAGAAAAAGCGGGCAAAAAACGTGCTCACATAAAATTTAATGGATGCATTTAGTAAGCAATATCCATCAAGTCTCGTAATATTTTAAACTTAGTTATAAAAACAAACCACATAAGTTTCTTTGGAGAGCTGTCTGCAAGACTTAGACAATGTAAAGGCACTCATTAATTTTATAAAAGTGAATTTTTTTAACCCAATGCAAGCCAGTCTTTTTATCATTGGATCAACACACATCCGACATGGGCATATATGCGTGTGTTGATCCAACGGTAAAATATTCATTGACTGCAGACGATCGAACGAAACGAGCCCAATGTGGGGGGACTTACATATGATAATTGAGTGGAAACATAAAATATGAACCATAATTAAACATAATGTCGGCATCTAAAATCGAAAAATTGAATGCAAGTTCAACGAAGATTGAGACTTTTACTTTAGTTCCTATTTCAATATACAAGATTATGGGAGAAAACATAAGGTAAGAATCAAAACGAGTTGTTCCCAACAAACATTAGTGACTCAAAATTAAAATCACCCCTGAGATTTTTTCTCTACACTTTCAAGTGCAACAAAACCTTAATCTTTGTACCTTGCATTACAGAAAAGAACAAAAAAGCAGAGCTTGTAACTTTAGAAAACTGGATTTACTAATAAGAAGGCAAGAAGATGGCTAAAGCTAAGGGTAATGTTCATTATTTGGCCCAAAATATAACATTTCAATGATCAGAAATCAGGCAATGCAGCAGCACCACCTGAAAGAACAATCCAAATCTCACCAGCAGCCATCATCAGATACTAAAAGACGCTCCAAATGACCTAACAAATGCTCAAACAAAACTCGAATCCCTAGTTAGATGAACGTGTGATTTCAAATCTTTCATACAAAACCTGTAATTTCTTCTGTTCTCGTATCCCAAGAAAAAGTCACATTAATGACGTTATTAATACATCCGGCGTGTAGTGATGAAATGTTCGCACTATCAGATGATCCACAGTTGAGCGGAATCCACCAAGAAAACATAGAAATCGCCATTGCAAATTTAAGCATTCGAATTTGACGAATAAAACCAACTGACCACAACAATCATCACCATATAGCCAAGAAACACAATTTACAAAAGCCTATGAAACAATAAACACATAATGTGCAAAATAATGACTATTGCCACTGTTACGAAATGAAAAAAATATGAGAGCTTGGATATCATAAAACCAAAAGTTTTCAAATTACAAAAGAGCTACGAAGAAAACCTCCCAACTTCCATAACTACTTCATCTTTATTCCCCTTATTCGAAGACATGTGTATGAACAATTAAAATCAAGGAAAAGGAAAAAAAGGAGAAGCAAAAATCAGCATTCCCAGAGCACCTGAGAGCCCTTTTCTTGTAGGCCACATTCTTACCAGAGGAATTTAAACAGTTTTCTCAAATTCTGATTTCTAATGCTGGTGTAATTTTCTGCTATATAGTCCATCCTTGGCAATTAACCTGTTTCGGATTGAAACTCGAAAAATTAGGCCATTCATCGAACATTCATCGTCTAAATACTGTATCATCCTACTGAAAGTTGGAAATAAGATGAAAACAAAAATGGATGATTTTACCTCTTATAATTTTTGCTTTTTTGGTTATGGAGCAGCTTCATTGACTTTATACATATCTGGTGTAACCTCTGTCAGCCAGAGTCCTGGGAATAAGGTCTGCAAATACCACAAATTGAAATAAATGAACAAGAAAACAATGAAGGTAGATGAAGAACAACTATGAAACAGTAATTCAGACGAACCAAATTGACAGATTGTTTTAGAGTTAAAGATTGCTCACGGAAGAGATTGAATCGAATCGAATTTGAATGTGTTCTTATACTTACATCCAACTGCTTCTGAACGGTCCTTGGTCTCTTCTTAGGTCTGCGAGGCGGCCGGTGGCCAGAAATCGAGAAGAAATCCTCCTCGATGTGTCTCTTTGAGAGCGCAACGGAAAACTTCGCCCGCTCCTTCTTCTCGCCGCCGGCCGCCGCCTCGCCGCCGTCGATCCTGTGAATCGGAGACTTCTGGGCGGCCGCTGCTGCTGACGACCGCATCTGGAAGGATCCGGGGTTGGGCCTTGGCGCTTCCAATCTCGAACCCTTGCCGCCGGCGCCGCTGCTTCCACCACAGGCGGCCGCGGCGAACCCGCTCGCCGGCGTGGCGCGCCTCGCCCTCAGGTTCCACGGACGGTTATTCTCTCCCTCCGCGGCGGGTGGGGGAGGTGGCGGCGGCGGCGGTGGCCGGGGGACGGAGACTCCGCCCTCATCAAGACCGCCGTCCTTGAAAAACGCGTTTCTCATCTTATCCGCAGCCGTCTGGAGATCGAGCATCACTTTCTCCCTCGTGGCGGCGATTCCGCCGTCATCGTCGTACGCGAATCTCCGGCCGACGCCGTGCGCCGCCGACGAAGGAGGCGGCGCGCGGCCCGCGCGGGGAGATCCGTTAGCGAATCGAGAGGAAGAATCTCCGTCCCTCTCCCGATCCCTGGTGGTGCGGCGCTGCTGGATTGGGAGGTGGTGGCGGTGGTTGTGGTGATCGGAAGAGCCGGAACTGTTTCCGTCGGCGCGGTTGCCGGAGGGGATCCGTCCGCCGGTGTCGACCTTCATGCAGCGGAGGAATTGCTGGTTTCCCCACCGCAGATCGCAGGGCAAAGTGAAATTGTGCAGCGGCTTCGATCTTTCAGTCCCCATAGCCATAATAACCTCTCACACACACACGCGCGCCGGTGAGGTGTTTCTACGTCTTTTACTCCCGGAGAATTTTCCGAATCGGAGGAGGAAAGGGGCTTTTTTTGCTCTGGTTTGGTGTTTGGTTTTTGTGGTGTCGATTATGGCAAAATCGCCGGGAAGGGAACCTGAGGGCGCTTATATACAGAGACGGAAGGGGTATTTTCGTCATTTAAACGTTGCGGGTTTGTTCCTAACGTTCGGGTCTTGTGATAGGCCGCGGGG